TTTTTTTTTTCCTCTTCTCTTTCGCATCATGGTCAAGGAACAGATAATCTCAGTGAAGAATTTTCCCATTTTTCTGCAATGTCCTGGTGGAAGAGACACCTCGAATGAGATCTCTATTAATGTGGCAATCCTTTGTATGGTGGTGCACTCGCCTGTTTGGACATGGTGATGACTTTTCTTACCCATGTGGATTTTCCATCTTTTTCACTGATTACCTTTAAAAATATGTCAAGCCAGAAATTTCTTGAGCATTTTTTTTTCTCCTTTGTCTCCCTTTAGCATAAGTCTAGACAGTCATTTTTAGGAACAGGGAAAACTTCTCCTACTGTCAAATCAGTACTGAAAAATTTAAGAGCCACCTCTTTTGATCAAGTGAATCATATGCATTGGGAAATGATGCTTTCAGTACTCCTGTATGTCTCTTCCACTAGGAACCATTCTGCAGTACTATGATTACTTAATCATGGTAATATCACTGCTTGTGGTGTACCTGTCTCTTGCAGCTGGGTACATACACATTGTCTTCACTTTGTGTAGGTATAAGCTGATTCACTGACTTTTGTGCATATTTTTCCTTCTCTAACACGGATATTGCGTTAGGGCAAACAACCATACCCATCCTTCTACATTTAGACATTTACCATTCATGTCAGCGTTCAGGCAATGCCTTTCACTCGTGTGCTGTACACATATCCTCCACTCACCTCCAAGGAATCATCCCTTACACCTTTGCTGCAGCTGCCCCACGAAATGACAGTGTTTCCTTTTGACATATTGCTCAGCGTGGAAGCAGAAGGAATAGCTCTTCCTTTCTCAGCAAGAACAGAAAGACATCAGTGTGAGGTACAGGTGCAGACTGAAACAGGTCTCTGTCATAAGTGTCTCTGGGAAGTAGGAAGTGTCTCTGTGTAAACCTCTTGATTTTTCCCGTTGGAAGTCCTTGCCTGCCTGCCTGCCTGCTGGGAATTTTGTCCTCCTCTTCCCAATCTATATGTGTATGTATAGAAATATATATCTATATAAATATATAGATATGAATATATATATATATGTAGAGAGAGGGATGTATATGTGTGTGTGTGTATATATACACACATACTTGTATATATATCCATGGTTTCTCATTTGTCTCTTTTTAATGTCTGTCTGTACGTCTCTTTCTCATATATTGCTTTGATTGTGTGGAGTTGGAGTGATTCAATAACTCTGTCTTCACCACTTCCTTGTTGTAGACTATTGGGGAGAGTCTTATTACAGTGACCTCATCGACTTGCATCTGGGTGGTATGTATAGCTGAACCTCTTGCTGACACTAATCCTGCTGACACTCCTCCCTACCCCTCCCTTCACCTACTTCTCCCATCCTTGGCTCACAAAACAAGAAGAAACAGTCCTCGCACATGACTGATTGGCTATAGCAGAACCCCTTTTCCAGCTCAGGGACAGAAGATGTTGTCATACTCCGCAAATTGTGCATGTAAGGCTCCCTCTTCTCTTTTCCACAGTGGTAATTGTTTCAGAACTGGTTTGTGCCAGCCAGCTTCCCTCCTGGCAATCGAAAGCCATTCTGTTTTGTTTTTTTTTTTTTCTTCTTTTTGCGAAGTCCAGTTCATCCAAATCCCCTTTATGAAAATATTTTATCACAAAGGGAGCAGTGGAACTGGTCAGCTTCCAAGGGTTAACAGCTCTCTAAAGGATTAGTCATGCCATTGCCTGCCTCTTGTACTCCTGAAGCTCATTTGCTTCTTTCAAAAAAACTAATGTTTTGATGAGTTAACAAAACAACAACAAAAACTCACTCAAAGAACTGAGAAAACACTTGTAGATAAGTGTAGATAATTCTTCTCTCTTCTCTTGTCTTAGTAGAGTTAGGAGAGATTCTACTGTTAAAATTCCAGTCAATTTTGCAGTAGAGCCCATTTTGCATCACTACAGTGTTAAAAAGCTTCTTGTTATGTAATTTTCCTTACATCTCATTTAAATGCTAAAGGACACATTAGCCTATTCAACTCTTTTTTTCCACATATGGATTATAGTCATCAGTTATCACTCTGCATTATAGTTTTCCTTTCTTTAATTAATGCTACTTCCTGAATCCCTTAATAGGTGAATAACTTTTGGGCTGCAAATGTCATTTGTTTAGCATTTGCTCATCCTGCTAATTAAAATTCCCATCTTTGCTAGTTCAGTTATCCTGAATTTATTCTTGTAGACTTAGATGGACAAATATGTCATTTGATCCAAGAGAAAGGAAACTCTGCTAGGTTGCTGTGTCATCCAGGCCTCTGCTTTCAATTGTCTTTAAGAATATAACGTTGTTAAATCCAGACTGTGCTTTTGTTGAGGGAGTCCATTACAGTCCAGATCTGCAGAAGAAAATATCCACACACTCCACGCCTGATCCAAGACAAGAAGTCTTTCTCTGTTGTTGCTGTTGTTCTGGATTTGACCTTTGAAATTTAACATTGCCCCAGTTTTTAACTGTCATTTCTCTCCTTCATGGACACGGATGTCCCACATAGTGTCTCTCTGCTGCTGCCTGTTGGGAATGGCTCCAAATTGTCCCAATACAATAGGCTGTTAGTTAATTACATCCAGTTAGGAACATCCACCAGAAGTCAACATTTCAAAATGGAAGACTTTTCTTCCTGGTAGACCTAACTTGTTGGTAATTTTCAGATGATAGGCCTCCTTAGCCATGTGCTTCGTTTGCTGTTCAGCCTCTCATTCCTTGCTGACTTATCTTCCACAGAGAGACTCTGAAACCCTCTTTGTACTTATGCCTACGAGGGCAGGCCCCACACTCGTATGAGCAAGTGTATAGTAGGAGCTGTAAAAGGGTTGATGCTGAATTGCATTTTAATGAATCCTTATCCCTGTCTAATGCTATTTCCACCATACCTCTCCCTCCTCTCCCTCCTTCTCCTCCTAATGCGTCTTTAGAGACAGCAGTCCCATCAAAATCACTAATGATGGCTGTAAGAAAGCAAAATAATCTTTACTTAAAGGGACACTGTCAAAAAAAAAAAAAGGCAAAAACAACTGTGTTGCAGAAAACCTCAAACAATTAAAAATCAAGTTTACCTTTCATCTTTTTTACTTGTTTGCTTTTTCCATTTCTCTTGAGTTCAACAGTCACTCTAGAGCGGTCATTTTCAGTCTTATGTTGCAGGCTGTTTTCCTTGATATGGTGGCTCAGTCGCTTGGACTTCCAACAGTCAGAGACAACGTTCAGATTTTTTTTTTTAATGCTTGATGTGTTTAAAAATTATAGCAAGTCTATTCAGATCTCAAAAATATTGTTTTCTAAACAAACTTGAAAAATACGATATTGGGCAGTATCCCTTTAAATGCAACAACCCAGTAGAGTCTGCTGGATTATGTGGCTTTATAGTTTGGTTTTGTTGCCTCTGTAACTTGCTCTATGTTTGCTTTTGGGGCTGCCAGAACACTTTTGCCAGAATGGATACATTGCTCTGATGATACTTAGCACTGTTGGGTGGCAGATGTGGAGCTCCGCTCTGAAGCTAACGTAACTCGGACAGGCTGCTGCATCGGGGGAGTGCTGTAAAAATCCCTGGGGTGCCCTGTGGCTGGATGGTCCTGCTGAGCTCTGTAAGCAGCTAGGAGAGCTGCATGGATTAGTAATTCTGCTGGCAATTTGTGTCTCCGAGGCACGGGCAAGACTCTAAAGTCATGCTGCCAGTAGAGTGCTAAGCAAAAATCACACAAATGCTCTGGAAGATTTTCTTAGGTCTGTAATCATTTTTGAGAAATCCATTATGGTTTTTGAGTGATAAGGGGATTTTTTTTAATTTATTTTGGATTTTCTTTGCACTAAGTAGAGCTCATTAAGTTGTTATAGACTGCACAAAAACTTCTGCAAGGGAATAGTAATTTCAGATGTCCTGGTCAAGTGCTAATTTGCAGGACTGCAGATCGCTGTCCTAACTACCCCTATTACGCTGCTCAGACACCATAATCCTCTCTTCCTGATCTAAAATGTCATGTACTGTTGCCATAAAACAGATGTTTCTTTTCACAGTACAGATGGTCACACTTCAATGTTGAGTAATTATTCCTATGTGTGTATTATATTGTATATGCAACTGTGTTAAAGTAGCCGTGCAAAGCTTGGAAAGTCAACTGAAGTTAAGATTGGGTATTAGGATTTAGAACCTTTAGATCCTCCACAGGGAAGTCTGACACTTGTCTTTATGGAGCAACTGGTAGCAATGCCAGGTTATCACCCTCTCTAGATCCTCTTGGGAAATGGGACACACTCAGTGGATTTCACAGATACTGGCCGCCAGCTGTGGAAGTGTGAGACTTGGAAAACGTGGATCCTGTGCCAAATTTTTTTTTCAATGGTTTTGGGGGTTCCCACTCTTTCTCCCTTTTTTTACCCTTTTCGCAGGCACTCCTAATCCTGTCTTTTCCCATCCTTATGCCAGTTTCATTTTCATTCTCAGTTCTGGACTCGGCTTAACAGGCATTTAATTTTAATCACAATCTTCTTGATAAAGAAATACGAGTATATCAACCCTTCAGGCCTCCTCTCCTGGTGTTCCACAGCCTCAGTCCTTGCCTCTGGCTTTCTCCCCCCATTTTGGGGCTCTGCTCCCTCTCCTACCTGGCTTTCTTTGTCCAAACAATTCTAGTTCATTCCTTCTCCACAGACCTGTCTTTTTCCCTCCATCCTTTATCTCTTTTCCCCACCTTCTCTCTCCTTTCTCCTTTAGTTAATGCTCTTAGGCTCCTTGTTTAGTGAGTTCCAGCCTCAGTTCTTTCCCCACCACCAATTTCTTGTCCCAGTTTACACCTCCTCTGGCCCAGGAAGGTCCCTCCTGTTGCCTGTGCGATCAGGTGAGGAGCCTCCTCTTAAAGGCACCGCGGGGAATCGCTGAGACAAGAGCCCGTCGCTCCAGTCCTGCCTAGCGCTCGGCCGGGGCGTGCCGAGATAGATGAGAAGGATGTAAGGAAGAGACCTGCTGTGTTTGATAGTGGTGTTTTCAGACATTTCCTCCGTTTGACAGGATTTTTATGAACTTCAGGTAAACGGGGGGGAAAAAGCTTGCCTTTCTAAAATGCTTGGAGTTTTTTTTTAATTTATACTTTGTTGAAAGCGTGTTTTACCAGAACTTCATTTTTTATCACTTTATTTAATGTAATTGAGATGCCTATGTCTTTTGAAGTCCTGTCTATCTGAATCTACAGGACCTGAGTCTGACATGCCAAAGTGGAAAGTGTCCTATGTTTTGTGGTTGGCAAAAACAGCTCTCCTGGAAGAGGGCTACAGTTGTAAGATAAACAGTGTTTTCTCAGTCTGCAACTGCTTTTGTCACTGAAATGAACCGGTAACAAATTTTCTTTAGTATGAGTTTGGAGCAGGAAAGAGCATTTGATAGCAGAACTTGTTAAGTGTGATTTGGTAATTCTTATTAGGTGCTGCAAGTGAAGAGTTGTCATTTTCCTGCTTCTTTCTGCACAGCTCTCCCAGCTGCAACACAAAACTTAACAGGTTTGTGAAACAGGTCCAGTATAGGAATGTACCAGTTCTGGTTACATTTTGAAGTGCTTAAGGGTCTAGTAGAAGGCAGCAGATTTCTGTGTGTATTCTGCTCCAACTATTGCTTTTCCTGTTTTTTTTTTTTTTTTAATTTTTGCTCCCTTGTTTGTACTTTAGAGCGTATAGGTTTTGGCGTAGATTTAGTAAGCTGCAAGTTTTAAGTCGGATGCCCTGACTGATGTATTTTGGAGTAAATGTAAGAATCTTTGCCCTCAACTTTCTAAGTCCTGCAATCATGAGGTGGCTGCTTGGCCATCCTGTTGTTGAACAACTTCACCAAATCATGAAGTTGGAATGCTTTATTGCAGCTGTCTAGTTTCTGAGCATAACTTATTACTAAAGAGTGGGAAAGAGAATATTTCATGTGATCAGTACACAGTTTGCTTTACTGATCTCGTTGGATTGATGCATACTTTAAGCACTGAGTTAAAAATAGAGCTCCTTGTCTGTCTCCTAAACAGGTGATACAGATTGTGAGTAGAAAAACAGGTTTGAAAGTATCGTGTTCTTAGTTTGTGAGGTGAAGTGCTGGCAAAATGGTGCCTCAGGCTAGCCTGAGAGCTGGATTTTCCTGCCCAATGTTGTCATATGCTAATTTCTAAATTGCTCAGGTCAGTCAGCAATATAAAAATTAAAGCCCTTGGACACAAGGTTTGGAAAGGATCTGATGCTATTTCATTTGTGATATATTTGTCGAGGAGACATCTTATTTGCA